ATATTATATATATGTAATACATATATTATATGTATCAACAAACTGGATGACAGGTATTATTTTCCTCAGCCACCCTGGATGGCAAAATAACCCACATACCTCAGCTGGAAAAACTCAATAATTATAGCAGCACGTAACTCATATTGAGTACTATGTGGGCACATTATATGCTTTATCTAATCCGCACAACAATTTTATGGGATACTCTTACTACCTCATTTTTTTGTTTAACAGCTGGGGAAATGAAGGAAGAAAAAGGTTGAGTAATTTGCCCATGTTTACGGAGCTTGTGCACTGCATACCCAGGGTTAAAACCTAAGGAGTTTGACTCTATAGCCAAAGTTCTTAACCATTACATGCTACCACCTGTGCCAGGCAGATTGCTACAGGTGGATGTGAGTTGGGAGAAAAAGTACACGTATGCACTAAGGGAGAAGCAATGCACTTGAGCATGTGTACTGAACCCTTAATGAACTGGTAATTGGCAAAGCACCAGGAAGGCAGGTAACAAAGAGATGGCCTTTTCCCTGGGTGTGGATGCCTGTGGACATTTAGACATGTAAGTAAAATGTCTGGCTTTTTAAAGTGTGCTGAAAATTCCTGCCGTTTGTTTACTAAATACCAGCAAAACTTGTCTGATTTCAAGTACCTTAAATACTTCTCAATTTGGGCACTTAAATACATTAATAGAAAATAGAGTCTTAAGCAAGTATTTTTAGTGACATCAAAACCGAGTTTAAAGATCATGTGAGGTACCAACAAAGTTGTCCATATCTAAGTAGCAACCCACTTGCTTTGTTTGCTGAAACAAGGTACTGTGAGGAAATGCGATCTTCCTACTTCAGTCCCCCAATCCTAGACATGGGGCAGCATGAGGGTAGGGGCTTTGACAGAAGCTAAAGTGCTAAACTGAAAAAAAAAAAAAAAGACGAGGTTGGTTCCATTATATTAATACTCATTTGCAGATTTCATAAACAACACCTGAAAATAAGCAGTGTCAAATCGTGGCTAAGCAGCTTTCATCACAGCAGCCTGGGTTTAATTAGGTTTTACATTTTTAAAGTATTTTAGGTTTGCCTAGTGCCTTTAAGGTGCATTGGGCCCTGGTCCCAGAAAGATTAAAAAACAGAAATTAATTTTAAAGACCCTTTATAGGGAAAATAAAATGCCCTTAGCTTGAACCGCAAATACTGTACCTAAAGGTCTCCAGTTTCTTTTCCTCCAATCCATTTTCCACATATCAGAGTAATTTTTTTAAAACAAAAGACAGATCGTGTTTCTCCCTTGGTCAAGCATCTTCAGTCGCTTCAGGTAAAGTCTAAACCTTTAATGTAGCCTACAAGGAACTGCACGATCTTGCTATTGAAGGAGTAGAGCATGGTGATTATGGAGCAAAGAGCTAGGCTGTCTCCATTTGAATCCAGTTCTGCCATTTACCATCTGCATGACCTTGGGTAAATTACTTTTCCTGTCTATGCCTCAGTTTTTCTTCTCTGTAAAATTGGGATAATAATAGAATCCATCTCATAGAGTTGTGAAGATAAAGTGAGTATAATATATACATATAAAAAGCACAACACAATCCCTGGCACATAAGAAGTTTTATATATTAGCTGCTATCTCTTATCTCCCCTGTTTCTTCACCTCCTCCCCCCCAACTCTGTGTTCCAGCCATTCTGCATCAGATAGGCCCTAGAATGTCCCAGGAATCATGCTTCCAGACCTTCCCACATCCTGTTTCTCTATTTTAAATACTTGCGGCCAAATCTCCCTCTTATCTTCCTTCTACCCCCATCCTTCTATCTTCGCTTAACCACCACTTGCTTTGGGAAGCCTTTCCAGTCCAGGCCAGTTGTTTCTAATATGGGCTTCCACGGCCTCAGGTAGGACTGCCAGAGGTTAGGAGGTCCAGTTAAATATGAATGTCAGATAAACAATAAATACTCTTCTAGCATAAGTATGCCCCATGCAATATTTGGATTTCAGATAAACAATGAAAGAGTTTTTAGTATAAATAGGTACTATGCAATATTTGAGATACTAAACACTAATTTATCTGACTTTTGAATTTTTTTTGAATTTTTATTTATTTTATTTTTTAAAAATATTTATTTATTTATTTATTTATGGCTGCATTGGGTCTTTGTTGCTCTGCGTGGGCTTTCTCTAGTTGCGGTGTGCGGGGGCTACTCTTCGTTGCAGTGTGCAGGCTTCTCATCGCGGTGGCTTCTCTTGTGGAGCACGGGCTCGAGGCAGGTGGGCTTCAGTAACTGTAGCGTGTGGGCTCAGTAGTTGTGGTGCACGGGCTTAGTTGCTCCGTGGCATGTGGGATCTCCCCGGACCAGGGCTCGAACCTGTGTGCCCTGCACTGGCAGGCGGATTCTTAACCATTGTGCCACCAGGGAAGCCCCTGACTTTTGAATTTAACTGGAGTCCTGTACTTCATCTGTCAACCCCACACCCGGGAGATCCTCCATCATAACCCTCACCACACTTCAGTAATTTAAAAAGTATGACAAGTGGTTTTGTTTCCCCCACTACAGGGAGATCTGTGCAAGGGCAGGGCCCAGGCAGCCTTGCTAACTGTTTTAGTCCTGGCATGGCAGGCATTCCACAAGTACCGAGGAACAGAGCCATCAGGCCAAAGCTCAGGCACCCCCTATTACGAGTTAACTCTAACGGCAGGCAAACTCTCTGGGAGGACAAAGCCTTTTCAACAAGGTACCACTAGCCTCTTGTCCACAGGTGGATAAAATGATGGTACTGCTTTTCAGAATATCTCCAGTGTGATAATACCGACTCCCCAATGACAGTTTTAAGATGACCCCACTATTTTGTATTCAAAAAAGGACTTTGAGGGCTTCCTTGGTGGCGCAGTGGTTGAGAGTCCGCCTGCCGATGCAGGGGACGCGGGTTCGTGGCCCAGTCCGGGAAGATCCCACATGCCGCGGAGCCCGTGAGCCATGGCCGCTGAGCCGGCGCATCCGGAGCCTGTGCTCCACAACGGGAGAGGCCACAACAGTGAGAGGCCCGCGTACCGCAAAAAAAAAAAAAAAAAAAAAAAAGGACTTTGAGTTTTCACACCTATTTCACTTGACTCTTAAGGCAAGTATTAATATCCACAACTAACAGGTGAGGAAACAGAGGCTCAGAGAAGGTAAGCAGCTTGCCTAAGATGACCAATCAAAGAGAGCGACCATTTTAACCCGAGAAGCTGACTGTGCACTCTTCCCACCATACCACATGGCCATCTGGGCCAATTTAAAGAATCATAATTCTTAGGTCCTTCCTCCTCACCTAGACACCCTCTCAAAGAAGTCTGATACCTGACTCCGCTCCACAGATTTAATTGCTCCTCCTATAAAAGTTCCCCAACAATTGCCTGAGAGGAGACAGGGAGGCCTGGCATCTGTATTTTGAAATACAGGTAAGTCTTAGCTAATCTCTCATGTTATAAACGACATTATTTAGGTCTGAAGACTAAAGACCTTGCTCAGAATTACAGGAAAATAGGAGTAACACTGACTGGAACCCGAAATCTGTCCCTTCTCTTTTACCTGAATCTCTTAGAAGACACCACAACACACTCCGCTAAATTTCTGGGGACAAGGATTTACATTTTGATTACATATATTTGTCAGCTTTCTTCTGGAATGAAAAATGGCTGAACCTGCTCGCCAAACAGCACCTAGTAACTCACCTCTTCGAGCACCTCTGCAAAATTCACCAGCCGGAGGGTATGTGGGCTTTCTGCCACTGGGAGATGCCTGTAAGGCTGACTAGATGCTACTTGTGCCCCTTCTCCTAAAGGGTCTGAGCCCGAGGGAGATTCACTCAGGCCGGAGGACTGCCGCTTCTACTAGAACAGGAAGCTGACCCGTCTAGTCCAGTCTCTCTCACCACCCCCGCTCCAGCTCTACTTCCGTAGGCTTCTGAAGGAAACTTCCTCAAAGGAAACTTCCACTTTGAAGCAGCGGAAACAGGAAGCAGGGAATAACCAAGAAAGATTGCGCCGCGCGGAGCAGGGGGTCAGAACCTAATGACCTAGAACATAGCAGGCGGTGAGCAATTTAATAAAGCTAGAAATGCAACCCTCCAACAATGATAAGTTCTTAAACCGCTGCAGCTTACTTGGTTTGGGGGGAAAGTGCGGAGAAAATATCACAGGACTGCAGACCTGCTGTTGGAGGTTCCTCGGGCAGCCTTCTGTTTGGGGCACGAATACCGGCTGGCTGGCTGGACTGGCCCCTAGATATGCAGCAGCATCGAGGAACCTGCGGAGGCTGTGCTCCCCAGCGCGGCGGAAGGAGGGATACTGGCTCCTCAGGTCCTGCCTAAAACGAAAATCACAAACGCAACTTAATTATAATTATTGTTTGTATGGGTCACTGAAGAAAACGTCTGTGCTGACAGAATTCTAGCTGGAGCCTTCGTTTGGAGCTCGGAAGCGGACCTTTACAAAATTACCGACCTGGTTACAGCCGGCATAGAAGGTTCTCGCAGTTGTCAAAACCATCTGGCCAAGGACGAGGAGATGTCCCCCAGGGGAATCTCTTTCCCGGGCGCGGTTAGATCCCCTCATCTGGATCCAGCGTCCACCTGGCCTAGCTGCCGCCCCACCCCACCGCTACCCCACGCCGCGCGCGCTCAGCTCCTGCCGCAACCCGAGCTCAGTTGCCCGGGTAACAAGGGATGCACACGGAGCGGGCCGCGCAACGCGAGTGCGCCCTGCGCGCTGTAGCTCCTCCTCCCCCTTGCAGACCCCGGCGGCTGAGTGTGCCAGCAGCGCGCTCGGGAGCGGGTCTTTAGCCGGGAAAGCGCGGTTCTCGTGCCGCTCTGGGCTCCGCCAGTGAGAAGCCGGGGGTGTGGCTGAGGGAACCTGCAGGCAGAGTACTTATGGGCTCGCCGCGGGTCAGGCCTGGCCTCTATCCGCACTCTCGCGCACGCGTGCCCACACCCACCGCAGCCGGGGAGTAGTAGAACTGCCACCCCGCTTCATCATGGTGACCCCCTGCCCCACAAGCCCCGTGAGCCCCGCCGCCCGGGCTGGGAGGCGGGACGACCAGAACCTCCGTGCCCCGGTGAAGAAGAGCAGGCGCCCACGCCTCCGGAGGAAGCAGCCGCTGCAGCCGCTGAACCCGTGCCCGCTACCCGGAGACTCTGGCGTCTGCGACCTGTTCGAGTCCCCCAGCTCCGGCTCGGATGGCGCAGACAGCCCCGCGGCGCGAGGCTGCAGCCCCCTACCCGGTCCTGCCCAGCAGCTGGTGCAGCTTGATCTACAGACCTTCCGCGACTACGGTCAGAGCTGCTACGCCTTCGGCAAGGCGCGGGAAAGCCACTACCACCCGCGGGAGTCATTGGCGCGGCAGCCACAAGTGAGGCGCTGGTAGAGCCAGCTCTCCACCGCCGCTCCTCTTCCTCTCCCGGGCTCTCTCCTTTTCTGCTCTGTCTGCCCTCCGCGGCGCCCCGGCCCTCGCCAGCCCGACTTCTGCCCCCGGTCCGAGCGGGAAGGGGCTTTGGAGGGCCGGGCCACCAGCCTCATTTTACAGATGGAGAAAAGCGGGGCCTGGACGGCTTAAGTGACCTGCCCGAAGTCTCCAAACTGTTTGGCAGGGACACGGTAGAATGCAGATTAGTTAAGACAGCTTCTAGGTTCGAGTCCAGACTCCTACAGACCCCGGCAAGTTACTTCACAGTCCTAAACTTGTTTCTTCATTTGCAAAGTGGTGACCTCCCTGCCCCCACTGATTGCTGAGAGTATTACACGAGGTAACGTGTATCCGCGCTCGGCACCGCGCCAGGCACGAATCCCGGCGTCCTGGCTCCTAGCCCTGCCTGTGCTCTTTCCACGCACGCTGCCCACCTCTTTCCGTTTCCAGCGCCTTTAGGTTTTTCCTCTGTTTCCTGCCTCCCTCCGGGGACGCTCCCTAGGTCTTCGTGCCCTGTCCCTTCCACAGCCTCTCTCAGCCCTAGGCTCAACTGGCCCGCCTCCCTCCTCCCTCCGGCAGGTAACGGCGGAATCCCGCTGTAAACTGCTCAGCTGGCTAATCCCCGTGCACCGCCAGTTCGGCCTCTCCTTCGAGTCGCTGTGCCTGACGGTGAACACTCTGGACCGCTTCCTTATCACCACGCCTGTGGCTGCAGACTGCTTCCAGCTGCTCGGGGTCACGTCCCTGCTCATCGCTTGCAAACAGGTACCTCCACGCAGGGTCTGGGGGGCAGCCAGACTCCCGGCCGCTCTCTGGCCGCGCGGCTCGTCAGTGCACACGGCTGAGTGCTGGATTCGCTTAACTCATTTTGCAACGTTACATACCCCACAGCCTTAACTACAGAATTCCCCCCAAAACGAACAATCCTTTCACCCAGCCCGCAAAGAAATAGGCCGTGTGTCAACAGCTCTCTCTAGCCCCTCTATTCTAGTCTCCGAAAAAAAAAAAAAAAACTTCAAAATTTCTCAAACCTGTTTTCAGCGTTGCGCTGGAAGTACACCCCAGATGATTACAGTGGAAGTATGGAGAGGCGAAGCCCCAAATATCTCGCTGGAAGGGATGGGGGAAGTCCTGGTTTTCTCCCGGGTGTGAGACTGGGTGGGCCTCTGGCCCTGGATGCTGCGCAGCGACGGATGAGCGCCCCTGTGTTACAGGTGGAGGTGCACCCGCCGCGCGTGAAGCAGCTCCTGGCCCTGTGCTGCGGCGCCTTCTCCCGGCAGCAGCTCTGCAACCTCGAGTGCATCGTGCTGCACAAACTGCACTTCAGCCTGGGCGCGCCGACCATCAGCTTCTTCCTGGAGCATTTCACGCACGCACGCGTGGAGGCCGGGCAGGCAGAGGTCTCCGAAGCCCTGGAAGCGCAAACCCTGGCGCGCGGGGTGGCGGAGCTGAGCCTGGCTGACTACGCTTTCACCAGCTACACCCCCTCCCTGCTGGCCGTCTGTTGCCTGGCGCTGGCCGACCGTATGCTGCAGCTCCCTCGTCCGATGGACTTGCGCCTGGGCGGGCATCCCGAGGCGGCGCTGCAGGACTGCCTGGGCAAGCTGCAGCTACTGGTGGCCATAAACAGAAGGTCCCTGACTCACATGCTGCCCCTCCAGATCTGTGAGAAGTGCAGCCTGTCCCCGAGCTTGAAATGAAGCAGACCCTTGGTCTCCTTTGATCCCCTGGCCTGGCTGCTCGACCTGTCCCATTGCTTTGAAAGCGTGCAGTGTTGGCCCACAGAGAAGGGTTCAGTCCTCCCGCTTGGTCACCAGGTCATCCTGCAGGTTGTAAATTGTGTACGATTGTGGGGTTTCATTGTTTATTTATTTTGCTAACATCGCACGAGAGAAGAGACGAGTCTTTCCCCAATAAACAGGCTGTCCGTGGTGGTTTGTCTGAATACTACCAATGTGAGGGAAGAGGGAAGGTGAAGGCAATCCGGGAATAGAGGCGGTCGGCAACCGTGGAGGGTTCCTCCCTCCCCCCAGGCATCTCTGTTTGGGAACACCAGGTCTCGAGAGGTTCCTGTAGACCGAGGTTCCAGTTACAAGGCGAGTCAGGGTCACTTGTTGGCCTGTAACTGGTGACCTTGTTAGGAGGCTGAGGACTGCTCACTCCTAGAGGTTCAAAGGGCGAGGTGGGGTGTGAGGCTGAAAAGAACCCACGGCAGTCCATGTTGTCTAGCGGGGCTAGGGGGCACACTGCTGGTGCAGAAGATCCCAGGCTGAGAAGCTTTGGGGACTGCACAGTCCACTAGCTAGGGCAACCAAGAGTTACCCTGACAACTGCCAGATGTGGGGAAATGAAGGCTTTGCAGGAAGTTATGGCCATTGCAAATTGAGTCCATTTATCCTGCAATCACATGTTGAACAGTTCTCTCTTGTCTTACACCTACTATGTGTGAACCCATGGTAACAATGGTGCAATAGTAATCATGGCTATCATTGAGTGCACCAGGCACAGTGTTCAGCATTCATTATTTCAATCCTTCAACAGTTCTACGAGGCAGAGTCTATTATCCCATTTTTCAGAGGAGGACACTGGGCCACAGAGAGGTTAAACAACAGTGGAGCAGCCAGGATTTGAAGGCAGGTGATCTGAGTCCAGAGTTCCACCCTTTGCCACATGCTCAGTTTCCTCCACTTACAGGTTTCTGGAAATGCTCAAAAAAAAACCTCTTCCCAAGGTAGGTGTGGGACAAGTGATCTGTTCAGTGCACTCCATTTAATAGGGACTATGGAGAACATATTTGGAGAGCCAGTACATTCCTTGCCTCTAGTCATGTTACAGGAGTCATTTACAGATGGGAAAAGTGAGTCAAGAAATGCGACAGAGGCTTGCTGGAGCTCTGTGACTCCACAGCTGTCCCATCATCTTCATTCTCACTGTTGTGAATCCGCTGTAGACCCTGAATCTGTAACCTCCAGCAAATTAACCTCTCTGAGCCCAGTCGCCAACTGATAGCGGGGCTATTAATGAAGCTTAAATGAGATTGCTATGAGGTAGTATAAAGTAGTGCTTAAACACTTGGACTCTGGAGTCAATTTGCTGTGTGACCTTAAGCAAGTCACATATCTATACTTAAGTCTTTCCTGTAAAAATGAGAGTAACAGCATTTACCTGGTAGTGTTGAGGTATGGATTTAATGAGATGTTCTCTACAAACCCCTCAGCACAGGTCCTGCCTGTCACATAGCAAGTCTTCAAGAAGGCTAGGAGCTTCCCTGGTGGCGCAGTGTTAAGAATCCGCCTGCCAGTGCAGGGGACATGGGTTCGAGCCCTGGTCCGGTAAGATCCCACATGCCGCGGAGCAACTAAGCCCGTGCGCCTCAGCTACTGAGCCTGTGCTCTAGAGCCCGTGTGCTGCACCTACTGAAGCCCGCTAGCCTAGAGCCTGTGCTCTGCAACAAGAGAAGCCACCCAATGAGAAGCCCGGGCACCAACGAAGAATAGCCCCCGCTTGTGGCAACTAGAGAGAAGCCTAGGGGCAGCAACAAAGACCCAACGCAGCCAAAAAAAAAGGCTGGTGGTAGCCTGCATAATGATGGGGTGTGGGGGAGAAGTTACACAGAAAAAAAAAAACTTGGTGAAAAAATAGAGATAAAGCAAATACAGGAAAATGTTAATGCTACTGTTGTTCATTGTACTGTGTTTTTCAATTTTTCTGTATGGTTGAAAAAATAAAGTTTTGGTGGAATAAACTCAATCATGTTCTATTGCATTTAGAATAAGTCTAAATGTATGACAAATGGCACAAATAAAAAGCAAACTCAAAACATACTTAGAGAAATTTCCTTGCACTTCTTGTGCACCCAAGTACTCTCCAGAGACAGGAGCGCCTTACAAACCCTTCTCTCCTGATATGTTGATATGCTAAGCTCTCCAGGAACTTTCTCCTTGGCTCAGGGAGAGGGAAGTGGTGATCCCCGAGCTGTTTGAGGAAAAGCTGGTCTGTGATGGTGAAAAGGAGGAGGAAAATCATATCACCTGTTCCAAGTGCCAAAATATCTGGAGCTCTCAGCCTGGCTATTAGGGGATGGGGTACCTCTGCAAAAGTGATTTTGGGGGGAGTTGTTTTCACCAGCATTTACTCAGCTAAGGTTGATAATGGGGGATTTGGTTCCAGAATCATCCAGCCAGGAATCATGTAATCATGTTATTCCAGCTCCTGTTGCCACAATCTACTGTACATTTTTATGCACAATGCCCATATTTTTCTACTCCAGTATGGAATTCATTGATGGAAAATGGGCCTGTTTTGGATCTTGCCATGTGTAGAGATCTCCCCAAAACTCAGCTAAGAGCTTCCCCACTCCTTTTGCAGACTGGGAAGCCATTAAGGATAGGGATGGGGAATGGACTGACTAGTGGCTAAGGCTACTCAGGAACCAGAGGAAGTAAGAGACAAAGCCAGCAAGAGGCTGTGGGAGGCTGCAGGTGCAGCTGAAAAGGCACTTCAAAACAGCAACATTGGGCTTCCCTGGAGGCGCAGTGGTTGGGAGTCCGCCTGCCAATGCAGGGGATGCGGGTTCGTGCCCTGGTCCGGGAGGATCCCACGTGCCACGAAGCGGCTGGGCCCGTGAGCCATGGCCGCTGGGCCTGCGCGTCCGGAGCCTGTGCTCCGCAATGGGAGAGGCCACAGCAGTGAGAGGCCCGCGTACTGCAAAAACAAAAAACAAAAAACAAAACAAAAAACAGCAACAGTAATTTATCCACACCATGCACCAGTTGCATTACATAAACAATCTCATCTTCACAGCAACTCCTCTGAAGTTAGTGTTATGTTTTCCCAAAAGAACTGGGGTTCAGGTGTCTGGTGGAGCCTGGGTTCCGACCCTAAAGCCAGAGCTTCTTCCTCACCATCAGCGACACCACACCAACTCTAGCTGGCTGACCTCACTGGTTCCTGCATCTATAGATGGCTCAGAGAGTCTCTAAGTCTATTCTAACTATATCATTGGATTGCTTTCCATCACTGTTAGGGGGATCTTGTTTATTAATCCAGATAATAAGTGCAAATAAAAGAGGATCTTTCACTACTCCTATGAGGTGTAAGGCACCAATTTAAGGTGCCCAATAGGGGGGGTCACAAAGATTTCAATTTCAGATGATTGTTCAAACTGTATGGATATAAGAGTGGTCCTGAAAGAGACCCCTCACCCAAGGATCTAGAGATGCCCCTTCCTGGGAGAGGCTTCCGGCTTGGGAAGAGGAGCGAAGACTCCGGCTGAGTCAACAAGGCCGGTTGTACAGAGAGTGACCAAATACCTCGAGCGGTAGCTGAGGCTTCCGGGGAAGAGACCGGTTTTAGGGGATTTGGGGCTGTCCACTGTGGACATGTGTGACCCTCTCTTTTAAAGGTTGTGCTCAGGTGCTGCTGCCTGAGAAAGTGCGGGGTAGGGGTAGGGGTACGGAGCGGGGCTATAGGCATCAGACCAAGTGGATGTCAAAACCAGGAGGGCTCCCTAGCCTTGGGGGAGGGGACTTCTGTAATCTGGGGCTGTTCTGGGGAGTCCCTGCTGGACTTCTACAATACATCCCCAGCAAATCCTACATGGCGGGGCAAATGCCGGGGTCTGACTTTGGCAGTTGACACTCCAAGTTTGTTTCGTGCCTTGTGGCTGGCGTGGGAAGAAAATGAAATAAGAATCGTTAACTTTTCCATATTCCCGCTGTCCGTACGCGGAAAGGCGGTACCCAGAGTTAGGGACCAGTAGGGGTTGTCCTCCCCTCCTCTCCCTTCCTATGGCGTGGCCGGGAGGCTGCGGCGCCAACGCCAGCCAAAAGAGCGCTCGCGGGCCCGGGCCCCGCGCTCGCGGCTCCCGGGGGAAGCCGCGTTGCCAGGTTGGGTTTTAACGCCTCCGCCCGCGCACAGATTGTCCGGGGCTGAAGGCGCCACCACTGGCGCTCAGGCGCGAGCCGCCCCTCCCGCGCGGCGGTCCTCCTACTCCACCCCGCCTTCCCTCCGCACCTTCACAGTCGCCCCTTAGGCCCACCCCGGCCACGCGCCTCCCCGACTTCCGGCCGGCTTCAGAGCCTCGGGAGCGCCGGGTGTCGGGTCGCCATCCCTGCCCGACCGCCGCCTCCGAGCAGTCGACGCGGGGCTCCAGGCCTGAAGCGGGCGGGGAGGCAGGATGCAGGCGTGCGGGGGCACCGCGGCGGGTCGCCGGGCCTTCGACAGCATTTGCCCCAATAGGATGCTGGATCCGCGAGGCCGGCCGTTCGGCAAGCCCGGGAAGCTGGAGAGGAAGGTGGGGCCGCAGGGCGGAGCCGGGCAGGGTCCTCACGCTCCCGGCAGTGAGGGCTGACCCGCGCTCACCGTTTCTGTGCCCGGCTAGTTCGCCCCTGCGCGGAAGCTCTTTCTCGGTAGCAGCGGCAGCAGCCCGGTGTCGGTGTACGAGGATCCCCCAGACGCCGAGCTCGCTGCGCTGCCAGGTGATACCGGTGGTCCCTGCGCGACCCCTCGGGTTCCCCGCGCCAGGTGGGTGGGGCGTGCGGGCCTCAGAAGAGCTTTTCTCCCTGGGGTTTCGGAGTCCTGGCGGCGATGCCAGCGGCGAGCCCTTGCGGGGAGGCTTAGGGTCCGCCCGGCGCGTGTCTCCGGTTCTCCCTACGCAGCCCTCACCACCATAGACCTGCAGGACCTCGCTGACTGCTCC